TGTTTTTCAGTTTAACTCATGGATGGCATTGTGTCTTATGGCTCTTTTTATCACTGTAAACAATCTCGGACACCTGTGATAATTAGATTGCCAGGTGAGCCCAATTTAAGGAAAAACTACTAAAGGAGGGTGTTCCACATTATTAAGTAGAGCACCATTTTCATGCAATATGGGGAAGAAAAAGGATCTCTCTGCTGCCGAAAAGAGTGAAATAGTTCAAAGCCTTGGCCGATGTATGAAAACATTAGATATTTCTCGAAAACCTAAGCGTGGTCATCGCACTATTAAGAGATTTGTGGCTGATTCAGAGCACAGACGGGTTCGTGCAGATAAAGGCACATTGAGGAAGATTTCTGCCAGATCCATGCATCGAATCAAGAGAGCAGCTGCTAAAATACCATTACATAGCAGCAAACAGATATTTGAAGCTGCTAGTGCCACTGGAGTCCCACGGACATCAAGGTGTAGAGTCCATCAGAGTCTTGCAACTGTGCATAAACTATTCAGCACCACTAACCAATGCTCACAAGCAGAAATGGCTGCACATGGCAGAAAAATACATGAAGACTAATTTTCAAACAGTCATGTTCACTGATGAGTGCCGTGCAACCCTGGATGGTCCAGATGGATGGAGTAGTGGATGGTTTGTGGACGGCCACCATGTTCCAACAATGCTGCGACGTCAGCAAGGCAGTGGTGGAGTCATGTTTTCAGCTGGAATCATGGGAAGAGAGCTGGTCAGCCCCTTTAGGATCCCCGAAGGTGTAAAGATGACCTCTGCAAAGAATGTGGAGTTTCTGACTGACCACTTTCTTCCCTGGTACAGAAGGAAGAACTATGCTTTCCGTAATAAAATAATCTTCATGCATGACAATGCACCATTTCATGCTGCAAAGAATACCTCTGCATCAGTGGCTGCTATGGGGATAAAAGGAGAGAAAGTCATGGTGTGGCCTCCATCCTCCCCTTACCTCAATCCTATTGAGAACCTTTGGAGCATCCTCAAGCAAAAGATCTATGAGGGTGGGAGGCAGTTTACATCCAAACAGCAACTCTGGGAGTATATTTTGACATCTTGCAAACAAATGCAAGCAGAAACTGTCCAAAAACTCACAAGTCCAATGATGCAAGACTTGTGAAGCTGCTATCGAATAAGGGGTCCTATGTTAAAATGTAACGTGACCTGCTAAAATGTTTAAAAAGTTAAAATGTTGTTATAAGTTTGATTGAAATAGCTTTTGATTTCATTAAATATGCTGCAAACACAATAAATGACAATTTTCAGTTCTTTACAACCTATAAAGTGTTTTGAAACTTACTGTGTGTAATAATTTGGAACAGTACATTGTACGTTTTTTATGTTTAAAAAAATACTGTTATCATTAGGAGGTTTGTATAATAAAATTTTAATTGTACTCTTAATAGTTGATAACATGAGAATTATGCTGACTGTTGTTTACATCAATTATTTAGGTAAATGAGAAAATATAATTTGCTTAATAATTTGGAACAGGGTGTAGTATATAAAAAAACATAAAAATGAAAACCATTTACATAGAACAAAATATGAGAGCATGGTGTATACTTAAAGATTCTCAAAAATAAATATAATAAAATCTGGTAGGGAAAAGTAATAGATTGTGGAAAATAAAAAATAAAAAATGAAAAAACATTTGTATGGAACAGAATATGAGGGCATGTGCAAAGTGTGCAACAAAATATGGAAGAGTTTGTTATTACAAAAACAAATTGATTTTAGAATAAAACCAATAAAATAGCAATCTATGTAAATGGAAAAAGAAAAAAGGTACTAAAATATATACTCATGTAGAAAAAATCTACCGAAAATAATATAAAGGATAAATATACAATATATTTGCAAAAAATGGGAATATACAAGTTCCGATAAGGAATATGTATAAGGAAGATATATGGTAAAAGAGGAAGATGGACAAGAAATCATGGTATGAGATGGATATCTGCGAGAGCATCCATCTGTACTTGGAAGGGCAGAACATATGGATACCTGCACATTCTGGTGCATTTATATATACATATATATATATATATATATATGTATATATAAATGCATAGTGTAATGGATTGCCTGGCACCCCGACTGGGTACCTCCGTTGATTGATGCTCCTAGTGCTTCCCGAGGGCTCCAAGCACTTCTCCAGTCACCATAAGCACTGAAGACCGAACCTCTCTTCCTTCAGAGCAAAGCAGGAACAAGCTCTTAAAATAACTTAGGAGTGATTATAGCAAGGGAATATTCAGAGCATAGCAATCCCTTGTAGCAGGTTCCCCAATAAGAGACGTCGGTCAATTTCACACAAAAATATTTCACATTAAAAAATTCTCATTCAAATGCACGAATGGGGCACCATTCGTGCAAATAGCTTAGTGTAGCTGTGTGTTCAAATAGCCGAACGGGACTTAGGCACTGCGGTTAAAACTGATTGGAGGGGAAGGTAAGGATCAGCGGTGTTTATGCAGATGGGTAGCCGATTTTAGTTCCATAGATTTGGCTGCACACACCACTGACCGCGTTCGCCTGAATAAAGATGGCCACCGCCACCTGTTCATTTGTACGAACTGCGGCCACCCAGCGGTCAGCAATTTACCTACAGCAGCCTCCCAGCCTGGGAGGTAAATTAGCCGCATGCTTCCACTTCTGTGTGGTCCGCCTATCCACTACTTAGTTCAGTAAGCTCCATTTACTGAACCAAGTAGGAGAAAGCCAGGCACACAGGATTTTAACAGTCTGGGGACACTGGGGATGCTGTATTAAAGGGGCAATGTCCCCAAAAAAGTCTCAATAAGACCAAATACAGTTCTTAAAGGGCCATACACAGTCCAATAGAAGTCCATTAGTCCCAATGCTGTTTTTAAAGTGCACAATCTCCCAAGGGCCATAGTCCCAAGGCATGAGGCTTGCAATCAGTCATCGCCAAGAACCAGTGGCGAGATCCCTTTCGCCACACATAGCGTACTTAATACCTGTTTTATCCAATTTGCTAGAATCCGAGTATAGCTAGATGGATGTGATTGTGACTGTAGGAGGGAGGGTCAGTACGACAAATTCATACTGGGTGATTCATAAAAATATATACTTTTGCCAAATACAGCAAAAAGGGATACTAGTTATATGTTCCGCTTTATTATATGATTGAAAGTAAAAAACTCGACTATTTAGAAGGCAGCTAGATCTAAATCCTTATTTAATCCACCATTGTAAATCCTTATTTAATCCACCATCTTGAAGATCCAGTATGGCTCCCTATGTCTCAGGATTCTCAGTCGATCTTCACCTCTCTTGGTAAGGCAGATACCCTTTATGTTCAGACCTTGTGTATCTCCATTATGTGTCTCAAGAAAATGTAGCGGAACACCATGGTTGGTACATTTATTCCTTATGCGTCTTACATGTTCACTAATTCTTGTTTTCAAATTTCTGCAAGTACAGCCTATGTACTGTTTGCCACAAGGGCATTCTAATAAATAGACCACATACAATGTATTACAATTGATAAAGCTTCCTATTTCATATCTTTGATCTTCATAATTATATTTTGATGTGAAATATCTATTATCCCTTGTTTTGATTAACTGGCAGGTAGTACAGTTTTCCCTTCCACGTCTATATATTCCATGTATTGGTAAAATGCCACTGTTTCTCTTCTTTTTTCATGTTACACTCGGAGCAATCATGTTCTTAACAGTCTGGTTTTTCCTAAATACTATTCTTGGTTTTCTGCCATTTTCAATGTTCATCAAGGAATCCTGAGCTACGACAGGCCAATGTTTCCACATGATTCTTTTGATATCTTCTGCTGCTGAATTATATGTAGTCACAAAGTTCGGAAGGGGCTTTCTTGTTACTCCATTAAATATTGGTAAGTTCTTCTTAAAGGATTTCTTAGAAATTAGTTCCTCTCTGTCCATGTCACGAACTTCATCAAAGATTGCCATCAGATGCTAATATTTGTAATGCTTTTGCACAAATCTGGTTGTGAGATTTTGAAATTCTTCCTCTAAGTCAATATATTGACTGCAATTCCTTTTAACCATCATGTATTGGCTTTTTAGAATATTACGTATCTAACCTTGATGATGGGCACTTCGAGCATTGAGAAACCCATTGCAATCTACTTTTTTGCACTGGTTTTTGGTTTGTAAGTGGAGATCTAGGAATGTAATGTTTTTTTGCTCACTTCATACGTAAATTTTAAATTGATGTTATTGGAGTTGGTATGGTTGATGAATTGGATAAGATGGTTTTCATCTCCTCGCCACACCAGAATTATGTAATCGATAAAGCGTTTGTAAAATATCAAATTGTACTTAAAAGGGTTGTTATTCCAGATATATTGGCTTTCCCACCATCCCATGGTTAAGTTGACGTATGACGGTGCTAATTTTGTTCCCATGGCAGTTTCCATGAGTTGGAGGTAAAATTGATTATTAAAAAGGAAGTAGTTATATTCAAGCACAAAACTGATGCAGTCTAATAAGAACACTTGTTGGTCTCTATTAACCTCATTGAACAGATCCAGAAAGTACTTAACTGCTGCTCTTCCTATATCATGTGGGATACTTGTGTAAAGGGATGACACATCCAAACTGACTAGGTAACAGTCTTGTGTCCATTCAATATGGAGAATCAATTGAAGGAGATGAGATGTGTGTTTCAGATAGGAGTCTAAATGTACTACTATGAGATAGAAATCTACATAAGCTGACATATTGCTGGTTAGAGAATCAATCCCAGATATAATAGGTCTGCCAGGATGATGTAAATCTTTGTAGAATTTGGGTAAATGGTAGAAAATCACTATGACTGGATTCTCTTGATATAAAAATCGGAATTCTTCTTGGGTCAAAATCCCTTTTGTTTTTGCTCCTGATAGCAGTGTAAGCAGATTTCTCTTAAATTCTTGGGTAGGATCTGCATCTAATTTTGTGTAAGTTGCTTGATCCCCCAATAGTCTATAAGCTTATTTGTTGTATTCTTCTTTATCTTGTATCACAATTGCTCGCCTTTTATCAGCTTCTCTGATTTGAATGGTGATATTATTTTGGAGGTCTAGGAGGGCTCTTTTTTCATCGTGCGTCAAATTGTCTTTTATCCTCTTTTTTTCGGGCATATCTTTAAGTACCAGATCCGTGTACACTCTAATAAATTCTCCCTGTTCGTGACTGGGAATGAACGTAGAGCGTGGCTTAAAGTCCGAATGTATAACTCTTGTAGAGGCGTTGGGCTGTTTCTCACTGTCTTGTAGTGATTCAAGTGTGCATATCCCTTCTAAATCCCTTATAGTGATGTCATCGGAGAGTAGCCATGGAGTGTCTGTGTTCTCCTGTACATTGTTCATTCTCTTATTAAAGTATCTTTGTAGGGTAAATTTTCGAATGAATTTCTGTACATCAATAAAGATATTGAAATGATTAGGGGGTTGGGTAGGAGCACATTTTATACCATATTTCAGTACCTAAATAAATAATAGTGAGAGCACACAAATAATACAAATAATATTACCCACAAATGATGAATCCCTTATCCTGTAATAAAACAAAGAAAAGGAAACATGGGGCAATAAAGTAAAAACTATAAATGAGATAAACGTATTGGTCTCACTCACATATACAGAGCCACTTAAAAAGCTGGCTCAGACTGCATGCCTTGAACAAATAGACGTTCCCATGGACTTCTCCTCGAACTTCTTATATGAAGTACCTCCAAAATGCTGATTAGGGGGTTATAAAACACTTTATTAACCAATAAATAACAGGAAACAAATTAAAAAAGTGTACGAAGAAAGTCCAATAAAATTCAGGAAACAACAACACCTAATGCGTTTCGGCTATCAAGCCTTCATCAGGGGTATTGAAAATAGTTCAAGCATACAGTCTTTTATATCTTCTTTTTTTTTGGCGCCCTTTTTCCACCACCAATCAAATATTTCACTTCCGGGTTCTATGTCACTTCCTGGTTTTGCGTCATGACGTCACTCGCGTCCTGATGTCACTTCCGGTTACGGCTTTACGTTCTGACGTCATTTCCGGTTGTGTCCTTACGGTCTGACGTCACTTCCGGTTTGTATCTCCGGAAGCGTCAAAAGAGTCCGGTGCCATACTATGCCAGTGCAAATATCATATTATCACAAACAGAAACCAAATAAATTATATACATTACGAAATATTAGTCAAACCATACATAAATTACAAGGTTATTAATAAATGGTTCTCTAGATTAATACATAATTCTAAAACCTTATAAAAGTAACATCAATATTAAAATGGCAGCACTATATGAAATGAATGGAACAACATAACTAATAAATATAATAAATCTTTTGGAATAAACACCTAAAAAATTAAATTAAAAGGTTAAAAAGGGAAAAAAACACATTTTCATTACATAAAACATCTTTGATAAAATTAATGTGTATAAAAAATCACTAATATTTATTAATCTCAAAATCTATATTTAGACCCTGTAACATCATGGTCTCCAACTCAAACATCCATTTCATTTCTGCAAGACCCAATTTATAGTTTTTATCTCCTCCTCTCCAGTGAACATTAATCTTATCAATACCCATAAATTCTAATCCTTTCGGGTCCCCATTATGGACTTCTAAATAGTGTTTTGACACACTGTGTTGAGCAAATTTTCTTTGTATATTAAAAATATGTGCTCTTATTCTTGTTTTTAAAGTTCGTGTTGTTTTCCCTATATATTGGTAGCCATATTGGCAACTCAATAAATAAATTACATCCTTACTGGAACAGGTGATGAATGATTTTATTAAATACTCTTTTTTAGTAACCATTGATACAAATTTTTCCACTTTTCTATTGTTATTGGGTCTAGATGTACAGCCTCTGCATACACCACAATAATGGAAGCCTTTGCTGCCTTTTAAAAAGTTACCTCCATCTGCCCCAATTTTTTCTTTATCTAAAACACTTTTAGTTAAGATTTGTTTAAAATTATTAGCTCCTCTAAATATAAATTTTGGTTTAAAATCTAAAAAGGGAAGGATGTCCGGGTCTTCTTTAAGGATATGCCAGTGTTTTTTTGATTACTTTCTGTTGTGAATAATTATTAGAACTGTAGTTAAAAATAAGAGGGATTTGATCTTTTTGAGTTTCATTTTCTTTTTCTTTCTTATTCTTGTATTTTAGAACTGATTGTCTCTCTTTTTCTCCAATCTTTCTTTCTATTTCTTCTAATTCCTCCTTATCATATCCCTTTTCAATAAATTTTTCTTTTAAAATATCAGTTTGTTTAAAATATTTGTTTTGTTCTGCACAGTTCCTTTTAATTCTTAAAAATTGACCCTTGGGTATATTACTTAACCAGGGTCTAAAATGACAACTTTCAAGATTTATAAAACTATTAACATCCACCAATTTAAAAAAAGTCTTACTTTTTAATACATCATTATCAATATATATTAAAAGATCTAAAAAATTGACTTGCTCCTTACTAATATCATAGTATAAATTAATATTAAAAGAATTGATATGTAAAGAAACAATAAATTCTTCCAAAGTTTCCTTACTCCCTTTCCATATAATAAAAATGTCATCTATATATTAAACACGAACAAGGATCTAAAGCAGTGGATTTTTATTTAAAGAAAGTTGGAGTCATGAATGCTCTCCAAATTGAGTTTTAGTGAGTGGAATAGATTTTATTTTGAAAAACAATTTTTTTTTAGTTCGAGAGTGAATTTTTCCTCCAAATTCAAGGAACAGTGATGTGGACCAGATTTGCCCCAAGTTATGCTAATTAATTTATGTCCTTCTGGAAAGAACAATTTATTTTTTCCAGAGTCGACATTGGGGCAAATCTGGTCCTCTATAAACGCTATATAGATGACATTTTTATTATATGGAAAGGGAGTAAGGAAACTTCGGAAGAATTTATTGTTTCTTTAAATATCAATTCTTTTAATATTAATTTATCCTATGTTATTAGTAAGGAGCAAGTCAATTTTTTAGATTAATAGGGATTAAGGAGAGAGCACAGGTTACTTTTTTCTTTGGTATTTACTATATGTATTAGCTGACGTGTACTGTAGTCATTGCTGTCGCCCAGGAGTGATGGGAGTGAGTGCAGGACTTTTCTTTTTGTATTTGTATTCACTTTTTGTATCACACAGCTAGGTTACAATGCTGCAGCCCATCCTATGTGTTCCCTATTAAGGGTTAATAAGTATATAGGGGTGTATATAAAAAATATATAAATGACCTCCATTTGTTTAAATATACATAGGGATTAAGGAGAGAATGCAGGTAACTTTTTTCTCTCCTTTTGATGTTCCCCTAAAAAAGAGGGAGTATCACATGTCCCTGATCCTCTGCTGTTCCTTCTTTTTGGGATCGCTCCTACTGGGTGGAAGTTCCTAACTGGATAGTTGTACCTCTCTTTGTGTTTGTGATGTAGTCTGGTTTTGTCAAATGATTCTGGAGTTCCTCTCTGTCTTCCAGAACTTTGTGGTCCTTTATAGTGTTTGTTTACATTCCTATATGTCCTAAACTTTGTTCCAAGAGGTCTAGATTGTGGTATAAGTTTTTTATTTAGGTCATAATCATTTTGATCACGTATAAATGTATTTTGTTTTCGTTGTTGTAAATCCATTTCAATCTTCTCCACTCTTTTAATTACTTTGTTCTTAATTTCTATACTGCGTGCGTCCTCTTTATATACTTCGAGTTTCACCTGTAGCTCTTCTATTTTTTTCTGGTATAGATTCACCTTATTCTCTCTATGTTTTATGAGAATTTTAATAAACGTTTGTGAACATAGTTCCAGAGCCTCATCCCATTCAGTTTGGTACTCATCTAACATAAATATAGATTCCTGGCTAATCATGTCAGCATCACTTATGGGTAGCTCCGCCCTAATCAGGAACAGGACAGGATCAAATCAATTAATACGGACCAGACTGGGTATAAAAGGTCCCTCCTCCTTCTATCCCACAGTCTTTTTTTCCTGTCCTTTCAGGACACACAGGATATTTTTATTTTGGGCCACCTTCCCATGTGTACCATGGGCCTCCAGATGAAGTTCAGCCTCTCTTCATCTGAAGAACTCAGTAAACAGCCTGCACGGGCAGGACTAACTGAGTTTAGTACAGATTAGCATCTGTACTATTATGGGAGAAAGTTTCAATCCATATTGATGTGGGGTCGGCTGTTGCCTTAAAAATTCCCCTTATGGCATCTAACCCCCCTGATCTGAGGTCAGTACTTGGGAGAAGCTAGGGTAAGTTCTTTATGTTTCTTTCTATTTTCTTTGAGGTGCAGATTATAGTTGCTGCTTAAAATTTTTCTTCTACAATAAGCATATTATTATTTTAGATGGCTTCTCCCTCTGCCTCAAGATCTCGCTCTAGAAGACATAGGTGAGCCGCATACGTTCTTATTGATTTAAGGGGGGAAAAGAGTGCCATTACAGACCTATAATATTATGCATATTAGCCTCTAATTTCAACCCAGAAAAATCTCAAGAGAATTCTCCCAGAAAATATAGAGAAAAATCCAACAGATGTGCAAACTGCAACCAAGTGGCTCCACCAGGAAATAATTTGTGCAGATCTTGCTTGATGGAAGCAGCGAAGGACTGGGATAAGAAACGTTCCCCACAGGCTGACTTAAAGAAATGGATTTCAGAAGCAATTGCTGAAGGGTTTAAATCCTCTAGTAAGATGGCTGTCCCCAAGCGTCCCAGAGTGGAAAGCTATGTGTAATCAGAAGAGGAATCTGATATGATGGAAGATTATTCAGAGGAAGAAGAGGATGAGTGTGACTCAAAATCTCTGGATTCCAGGTCTGTGGATAAGTTGGTTTATCTTATCAGAGACACGTTAAGAATTCCTGAAGAAAGCAGGGAGAAGAAGGAGTCTGACAGATATTTTGAAGATCTGAAGCCTAACAGACCCACCTTTCCAGTTCATTCGGCCATCAAGGAGGTAATAGGTGCAGAATGGAATAGACCTGAGAGGAAGGTGACTTTAAAGAGCAAAGTCCCCAGATTAGACCTGTATGCTCCTGAGGACTGCAAATCATGGATTTCGGTTCCGAAAATTGATGCAACAGTCATTCACATGGCGAAAAGAACAACTCTTCCCATAGATTCAATGGCATATTTAAGGGAGCCAATGGAAAAGCGATTGGACGCTGACCTGATTAAGGCATACCTGGCCCTGGGATCGGCATTACATCCAGCCATTGCTCTTACCACCTTGTCAAGAGCTCTTAAAATATGGGTTGATAATCTAGAAGAGGATATTGCTACCGGAGTCCGTAGAGAACACCTGATGGAGGGCCTTAAAGATTTAAAACTGGCCACAGAATTCTG